TTTTGGTTTGTACAATAATAATTGGTATCCACACGAAAATCGCATGCACTTTTACCTAATGTCATATTAAAAGGGAAAATTTATGCCTGAAATTTTAGAGATACGTATACTATCTTCTATTACATTCAAACTTATTTTATAAATAATTTCTATCCCTTTTCGACCTACGTGGAACTATCAACCAGATTATTTGAGAAGATTGTCAACACATATTGGCTCAGAAAATATCGAAAAGGGGCAGAAATTATTTATAAAATAAGTTCGGAGGTAACAGGGCCTTAGACCATCTCCAACCCACCTCTATTGTACGAGACAATTCCCTAAATGGTCACCCTAGTTAAGAGAATTGCCTTGAAATATCATTTATGTTTCACTTAGGACCAAAATATCACTCAACAATCACTATTTTCTCCAAATATACTTGACATTTTAAAATCATCAATATCTCCTACTTGGCATGACGTGTCATTTAAGTCTTTTTTTTAAATAATTGACTAATTTAATTCATTGAACCTATTTAACTAAAATAATGATCATATTATTTTTAATTTATTTTTAATCTATTAAGAATAAATTTTCATGCTTAAAATCTTTTATCATAATTAAACTTTTTATTTTTTTATTTTATGAAGAATACATTTTTAAAATGTACTTTAATTTTATCAATTTTGAATACTTATAAACACATACATTCAAAAAAATATTGATATACAAATCACTCATTAACGTTAATTTACGTCAATTAATTATAAGTTGTATAACAAATCAGTAATATTGAAGGTCAATTAACCATTACAATAATATTAATTGTATATTTTGCAATTCATGTTTTCGATATTATTATTATTTTTTGAGAAAAAAAAAGAAGAAAGTGAATAATATTTTATTTTTTATCCATTAGAAATACTAAATACCTCAGAAGTCTTCTTAAATTCTAGTTGATATGCGCTGTCATTAAATAATCATTTTAAAAAAATATTAGACCTATTTAATTCATCAAACTTATGTCTCTAAATAAATATATAAATTACACGAGAATTTATGAAGATTATAAGAAAAGTAATTTAAAAAGTCTAGTAACTTTATATATTGTCTGTCACCAAACAAAATTTAATGAAAAAATCTCTGTGTGCACTTATTGCCGGATAATTTTAAAATTCCTAACTAAATTATTCGAAAATTTTAAATAATTTTTTTAAAAAGGTATTTAGATAAATTTGTAAGGTCGACAAAAAAATGGTAAGAAAGAAATTATTATTTAACTTTTTCTAATTTTATTTTTATGTTTATTCTTTTATTCTATATTATATTATATTATAACTTTTCATACAATTAAACATCAATAAATAAACTAATAATTAATTGAATTTACTTATTTAATTTGATAGTATACATATTATATGAGATTAATATACTGATAAATAAAGATCAAAATTTTATTTTCTATAAATATTATTCACTTACTATTTTCTTTTAAAAAAGATTTTGTAAGTACATATGGATTTCAAAGCACCCAAATAATTATTTTTCAATATTTAGTCGACCTTTAATATTATTGATTTATTATACAATTTATGATTATTGAAGTAAATTAACGTTCATGAGTGATGTGTATATCAATATTTTTTGAATGTATGTGTTTATAAGTATTTAAAATTGATGAGATTATAGTTCGTTTTAAAATGCATTCTGCATAACATAAAAAATTAAAAAGTTTAATTATAATAAAAGATTTTAAGTATGAAAATTTATTCTTATTAAATTAATTAAAAAAATTTAAAACAATATGATCATTATTTTAGTTAAATGAGTTTAATGAATAAAATTAGTCTATTATAAAAAAACTTTAATGACATGCCATGCCAACTAGGAGAGAGTGATGCTTTTGAATTATCAAGTATATTTGGAGGAAAATAATGATAGTTGGGTGATATTTTCGTCCTAAATGAAACATAAATGATATTTTAAGGCAATTTCCTTAACTTGGATAACCATTTGGGAATTGACTCCTATTTTACTCTTCATCCTCTATATTTTGAGAGTAAAATAGAGAACTAAAACTCCAATCCATCTCTATATTACTCTCTATTCTTCAAATATAGAGAGGTGAATAGTAGTTCTCCAAATTATTCACACTCTCTATTTTACTTTTTAACTATTTTATTATTATTTTTATTGCTTTCTAATTAACATATTATTTTACATATAATATCATTAATTAAGTATCTAATCTTCCTACTTCTTTCTAAATGTAATATAATATTTTTAAAAATATTATTTAATATATAGTACTTTCATTCCGAATTAATAGTATTTTTTTTTCTAATTTTTATCAATGATATGTTTTGATTTTATTATTAATTTTCACTATATAGAATAAACACAATTAAAATGATAACATAAAAGTTTTAATTTTAAAAATAAAATACATAACATGGTAATTTAAATACAACATAATAATACAATAATAACATTATAATTTAAATACAAGACAAAATACAATACATAACATAATAAGTAATTCGAAATGAAGCAAGAATCATGCCGAAAAGATGTTGAATGTGCATTTGGAGTTTTACAATCACGTTTTGAAATTATTATAGGACCGTCATGTTTTTGAGGAAATGAAGTGTTGCATGAATAATAACTACATGTATTATAGTGCACAACATGACAATTGAGGTTGAACATGATATCGATCTTAATGCACCAATAAAGATGTCGTAGAGGTTCCAACTCCAATGAAGGAAATGGTGGTAGATGAAAATCTCCGATTTGAATCATTTTTAGCCATACATAAAAAAAACTAAGGACGATCATGCTCATTTTGAACTCTGTATGCATTAATAGAACATTTATAAAAGCAACATAATAATTTCAAGGACGTTCATGCTCATTTCTTATGTAATTGTATTTCAATCTTATTAGATTTTGTCCATAAATTTGTATATTATAGCATATTTTCTTGAAACTTATGTTATTTAAAAATTTAGAATAAAATATCATTCTATATTAAATAAAAATTTTGAAGAAAAAAATGTTATATCACATGAAATTTATATAATGTAATTATTGGGAAAAGAAATATGGATTTATATCACTCCCTCCGTTTAAAAAAGAATAACCTCCTTTCCTTTTTAATCTGTTTCAAGAAAAAATGACCTCTTTCTTTTTTTTTGTAATAACTTTCCACGTGGCATGTTTAAGACAATAAGATTAAAGGGCAATTTTGTACATTTGACATAACTTTAATTTAGGCCCACATGATCAAAAGTTTTTTTTATTTTCTTAAACTATATGTCAAGTCAAACTAGGTCATTCTTTATGAAACGGATAGAGTATGAAATAAGAAAATAAGAATGAAATAGAAATAATAATATAATACCGAGGAGAGAGAAAAATATTCATTTTTCGAGTGTAAAATAGAGAATTGGTTGGAGTTGGTTGTTTGAAAAAATAGAGAACTCTATATTGGGAGAGTAAAATAGATGGTAGGGTTGGAGATGCCCTTAGTATAGTATAAGGTCTCATTTGTTTGCGCTTAATGGGGATCTAAATTATTTGTTTTTTAAGACCGAATTTTAATTGTTCAGATTTAGTTCATTAAAACTCTGCAGCATTATTAATAGGAATGGACTTAATTTGATTATTAGGAAAGTGTGCCCTTAACCTTATTATTTATGCCAATAATTTTGCAAATACCAAGTTACGAAATGACAATAGACACACATGAGACTATCTAGAAGAAGCATCTATTAGAACCATAAAATATCTAAATGACCCACTAGGTGGGTGAATAGGTCCCCAAATATCCCCATGTATACGTTCCAAGAACACAGGAGACTCAATCTTAACTTTCATTGGTGATGGTCTCACAATTAACTTGCCTTGATAACAAGCAGTACAAGAAAATTCACCATTTAAAAGAACTTTTAGGTCTTTTAGTGGATGTCCATTCGAATTTTCTATAATTCGTCTCATCATTATTGACCCAGGATGTCCTAGACGATCATGCCAAAGTACAAATATATTGGAATCAGTAAACTTCTTATTTACTATAAAATGTGCCTCAATTGCACTAATTTTTGTCCAATACAAGCCAGAAGATAAGGCAGAGAACTTTTCTGTAAAACATGTCTGCCCAGATACATTCTTGGTGATACCAAGATATTCAAGATTTATTTCATCCATTGATTGGATATGATAACCATTTTCACGGATATCTTTAAAACTCAACAAGTTTCTCTTAGATTTTTGAGAAAACATAGCATTATTAATGATGAGTTTAGTTCCTTTGGGCAAAATTACAATGGCTCTTCCGAAACCCTCAATCATATTAGTACTACCAAAAATTGTAGTAACATTTATTTTACCCATACTTAAATCAGAAAAATATTTCTTATTTTTGAATATCGTATGTGTTGTACCAGAATCAATCAAACAAATATCTTCATATTTCGATAATATGTTCTTAGAATTATCCATATCTTCACATGAAATGACATAGACAAAATAAATATATATTAAATATTAGTGTTGTCAAAAGGGTACAATATATTCAAAGGAATAAATTAATAATTAAATATTAGAAATTAAGCCTTAATTTATTGTTTCCTCTAAATCAAAAATGAGTTGTTAGGAAAATAAAATAAAATCATTATTTAGTCCTAGTTAATAACAGATTGCATGCTTTTAACATTAAATCAAATTAAAGACCTAATATAATACAAACACATGATAAATCCTAGTTAATATCAGAATTTATGTTTTTAACATTAGACCAAGTTAAAGACCTAATATAATACAAATACGTGATAAAGTTTAGTATTTGACTAACTCTATCATATTAGAATCATATAAATAAAACAATGAAAAATATATATTATTTTATTAAGAATTAAGGAACAAGCTAATGAACGACTAAACTAATTTAAAATACTAATACTCATGCAAACAACTATCATTACATGAAATTTATTAATAAATACTACAAAAAAATATCACTCTTCCATGTTCACAGAACCATCACCAATTAAGTGATCTATTTTTCCTTCAGGATGTGCGAAGAAATCTGCCACATCCAAGTGCGTGATGTTAACTTGATTTTCAGAGATAAAATTTGCCTCAGGATTTTTCTCTTTCTTCTTTAGTGATTCTTGATAAAGCTCAATCAAGTGTTTGGGAGTACGACAATCACGTGCATAATAACCTCTTCCACCACATCGAAAACAACCTTCCCTAGTTGCTTCACGTTTCTCATCCTTTCTTTTTTCCTTTTTATTTGATGAATGATAAATGCCAGGAATAGAATTACGTTCTTGACCATAATCACGACCACGACCACGTCCACGTCCACGACCATGATTAGGACCGCGACCTTTTCCAAGCCTAGCATGGTGGGCGTACGCCTCATTCACTTCAGGAAGTGGTTCAGATCCAGTAGGTCGATTCTCATAATTTTTCAATAATAAATCATTATTTTGCTCGGCCACAAGAAGATGAGAAATTAGTTCAGAATACTTTTTGAAACCTTTTTCTCGATATTGTTGCTGCACGAGCACATTCGAGGCATGAAAAGTGGAGAATTTCTTTTCCACCATATTAATCTCACTAACCGTTTCTCCACATAATTTCAATTGAGAAGTGATTCTGAAGATGGCAGAATTATACTTTTTTAGGTTTTTCCACAAAACAAGTGGATCCTTAACTGTCAGATATTCGATTTTCAGAATCTCGTCAAGATGATGACGCAAGAATATCATTGCTCGTGCACAGTTTTGATTTGATGCCTTATTTTCTTCTTTTATGGTGTCTCCAAGACCCATTGCATCAAGGTGAATTTCAGCATGCAACACCAATGAGAGGTAGTTCCTGCCCGAACTTTGAAGGGTAGTGAACTCTAGTTTTGTAAGATTGTCCATTAAAATTAAAAACAAAAGAATAAATAATACCTTTATTAATTCTTCAAATCTAACCTTCACTTTTGAGAAATTAGAGTCTCATGCTGATAATGTGTTATAAAACTATAGAATAAGAAGAAGAAACTAGAGAGAAAAGAAGAGAAGACATGTTATTTCTCTTGATGAATTGATTTACAATGAAGAGGAGCACTCTATTTATAGGAGAAATCTAACTTGGTCCCCAAGTAGGAGAACTTTTTAATCATATCCTAAAAAGGACTCCACATGATAGACATTCACTATAATACAAATACTTTATAACAAGGACAATATTATTCATTGAGAAAGTATTAATAGTTGGACCAAATTGTCCTTAACCGTTCCTAAATATGACAAAAAACAGTTATGTTGCAAAACTGTCTCTTTCTAAATAAGAGTAAAAAATAAATAAATAAATATATATAAAAAGGGAAAATTGTTAAAATGCTCTTAAATTATGTGACAGAATAAAAATGTTCTCGTTTATAGTTTGGCTCAAAATGTCCTTAGATTCAATACTTTGATATAAAAATATCCTTAAACTATTCAAAAGGAACAAAAATGTCCCCCAGTTTGTAATTTGGTCCAAAAATGTTCTTATCATCAATATTTTGGTCTAAAAATGTCCTTATTGTTATTTAATGGGTCAAAAAAGTTCATTTTTCAAATGAATATATTATTATTATTTCTTTTTGACACATTTTTTAATTCAATTAATGTTTTTTTAAAAAAATTAGCAAATGTTTATCTTACTTCAATATAGAAAAAGATAAAAAATAAAAATATTTTTAATTTTATCATCGATATTCTTATCGTTATATAAATATAAATTAATGATAGATATACTATGATCTTATATGTATATGATATATATTATCTATCGAAAGGGTACATGAAATTATTCTATGTTAATTGATAAAATGAGATTAAGAAGAAAAATAATATTTTCTACATTTTTAATTGTTAAAATGATTTTTGAAAAAAAGAAAACAAGAATAATGTTCCTTAATAATATTTTAATTAGGAAGAAGATGTGTTTAAAAAGAAAAAATAATATATTTATTTGGAAAAAGGGGCATTTTTGACTCATTTTGTTACTATAGTGACATTTATGAACCAAAGTATTGACTGCGATGACATTTTTAAATCAAAGTATTGATGATAAAGACATTTTAAAATCAAACTATAAATTAAGAACATTTTTATTCCTTTCATACAGTTTAAATGCATTTTTTAATCTTTTTTCCCATATATATATATATATATATATATATATATATATATATATATA